TTTCTTTCCTTCTTTCTTTCTTTCTCATCCTGCTTGTATAACAGTGCAGACGATTTAATTTATCAGAATGTGTTGAACTCGTACTGATATGCTGTATGCATTCAGTCAACTATGCACTGCAGACAAGATACTGACAACCCATTCCCGCCCCACATAACCCCATTTAAAAAAAAAACTGAGCTGTTATCTTAGCTCTAACCAGAATGAGCTACACTTGTGTGCCTACGATAAACTTAACCATTGAAAAAATCAGTTATCACCAACAAAACAAAAATATTTTGACTTCCTTGAATCAAACAGATTTCAGATTTTCAGTTGTTGCAGACAGAACTCAACATTAATGTGTTATCCACTGCAGATTGTGATGCACTTTTCAAACTCAACCATGCAAGCTGAGTTGGAGGAGTCGTTCAGTATTCTCGGAGGGAGATCCGGTCGCCCCGAGACGCGGACAGATCGATGAGACTCCCACCAGAGCCTCAGTGCTGCACGAGCTCACTTCTCCTATTAGCGCTCAGCGGGCGCAGATTGAGATTTGGTCGATGTGCTTCTGCACCAAACCTCGAACGGCGACGGGGATCCCAGAGGCGTCCAGCTCAGGCGACCTTCTCACGTGTCCCTGCTGTTATTTATCTTGTCGTGTGTAAGTAATGTTTTTTGTTATGCTACCAAAACGTAGCGATCTGCAAGTGTCGCCCTTCTCCTCACGCAGGATGACAATGCTGACCTATTCTACAAAACAGTCGCATATCTGATAAACAATTAAATGGATTTCTAATTTCCAGCTGGCATTTATGCTCAGGCTGTTCCTCTAATGTCGATGACGTTTTTATCAGATTGGCGTCAAATGAGTCTAAATTTGCCTGAAGATGAGATACAGACATTTATATTCTACCGAGGCTGATTCATTACTGGCGTCATTATCAGCTTCTTGGATGTAGAGTTTGTCTGAAATAATTGATTCATTGTGAATTAAACTCAAAAATATAGATTTTAGATGGACTGAGTCGCCACTATTGAGGTCACGGACACAATTTGTTCACATTAAACAGACATTTTATGTGCCGTTTTGAAGTTTAGTTAGAAAAAGGAGATGTTTTGTTTGTTTTCAGAACAATTCTAGCTGATGTAGTAATTAAGCCAAAACTACATGAAATAAATATGCATTTTACATTTAAGATAAAGGCGCCTGTATCTGTCAAAATGTTTTAGCTTCATCCAGATCAAATTTACTCAAGGAATGCTATTTTATTGCATTTTGGGCAATAAAATGTTTATTTTCTCATCTAATAGAGGACTTGAATGACATTTTTAATGTATTTCTAATATACATTTGTTTGCATTTTACAAAATTTTTCATTTTATAAATGAAAAATCTTTAGAACATGCAAATTATTTCCCTGGATTAATCACAGGGACATTTGATTAATTGTCTAAATAAACAATTAATTGTTTAGTTAAGTGTTGTGATAATCGATTAATCACCAGAATAGATAGAATTATCGATTCCTAAAATAATTGTGAGTTTCAGCCCTGTATATTTAATCATTTTTTCCCGTTTTAATGGTTTAAAAGCAGAGATGCAGTAAACGGCAGCCTCACCGTGACGATCAGGCCTCTCTCCTGGAAGTACTTGACCAGAGGAATGGTGTTCTGCTTGAAGTTGGTCAGGCGTCGGTCGATGGCCTTCGGGTTGTCGTCGGGTCGCCCCTGCTGCTCCGCCCTTTTCTGCAGCCTCTCCTTCAGGTGGCTGTTGGTGCAGGCCAGGAAAACCACCAGGTCTGGAGTGCATATCTGCAGAGAGAGAAATCACATGTGAAGCTGTGAACAGCTTGGAAGAGGCTCCATTCATGCATGATGGCTGTAATCTGACTGTGAGCTGAATACTTCGCCGAAGTGAAGCAGAGAGCAGCTGCAGGGGTTGATATCATTCGGAAACGTGGCGCAGTCGGGTCAAAATGTCGCCATGTTTAAGACGAGGTTCACACAGAAACAAAGAGCTCATCTCAGGCAGGATTTCAGAGGATGAAGATATAAACTACCCCCATTCCCTTTGTTTTAAATACCTGAATGACTGCAGGTATTATCTCTGAAAATAACCTGCAGCTTTTACAAAAGACACTGTTGTGGCAGAGTTTTCATGAAAGATATCGATGTTTTTGCTTGACAGACACAGGACTGTGGCGCTCACAGGAAGTTACTGAACAGGATTTTCTTGAAATTGCAAAAAATCCTGCATATACTGTCATAGTTAAAATAAACAGTGAAAAAACGGCAATTTGCTAAAATTAGCTAAAAATTTAAGAATATTCCATCGTTGTATTTTTATGTTAGTTTGAAATTACGTCATTCTGGCACTGGGTGATAAATCCATTTTATTGGTTTTTGAAGATTAAATTAGTTTAAAAATAGATTTTTAATTTTTTTTACCAATACATTCCTTGGGTTTCCATGATGGTTTTTTTCTTTTAAAATGAAGTCATAATATTCATAATAATATATTTGTACTAATATAAACATAAAGTCATATGACAAAAAAAATCAAAATATGAGAATAAATTCTTAATATTATCAGAATAAAATCATAATATTAGAATAAAATTAAATACAGTTTATGAGAAAATATTATTTTCAAAAAATAACTTTTTTTCTTACATTTTAAGATTTTATCTTTATTCTGTTAATATAACTATATTCTTGTAAAATTAACCTAAAATTTTCGTAGCCTGGGCCTAATACTCCCTCGACTGAAATAAACTTTTAGAAAAATATTTATAATATATTAATTAATGTTTTTAGAAAAGAAAGTGAGAGGAAAAATTCTATTAAAATGGAAATAATTTTTAACATTTTTAAGCCACATCTCCCAGTCCTGCCTCCTACTGGTCTGGCAAAGGTATTGCAAGGACGTTCTTGACACTTCCACATTAATGTGTTGCTTTTAGGACAGGATAGGTTTAACAAAAACAGAAAAAAATCTGGTGTTAAGTAAATTACTTCTCTGGCCTTCAGTTAAAACCACGGGGAGAAGTTGCTGTATTATAACCGGTTCTGCAGCGTTTGGTCAGTAACTCTAAGGCTGCGTCACGTTTCGAGTTTAACCGTGAGAGCAGGAATGATTTACGATTCATCCCAGAAACCTGGGAGCTGAGATCCCACTAAGAAGGTCTGTCCCCCAGAGAGCCTGGAAATTAATCACTTGGTTTAAAATTAAACTGAACTGGGAACCAGGCCTGAATCGATGTAAAACAGCCAGCCTCCCTGTAACGGCTGCTTCTGTGGGTGAATTATTGACATTTTGTAATCCAGGTTGGAAGACACCAGAAAAGTGAAAAAAAAAAACAACAACTCAACTTTATAAATGATTTATAAATGACAGCAAAAAAACAAAAGGCCACTGACGTGCGTTCATGGAAAAATAATATATAATACTAAAACCATTTATAAAGATATTTTCCCCCTGTGGTTTGTACTATAAAGTACCTATTTTTCATTTAATTTAACCAAATCTGATGATTTTTTTTTTCTCTCCAAAATCGCCGAATTTTCGCATTTTCCCATTCAAATGCTCAGAAGCGAAGCAGGTGAGGCAGCAGCGAGCTGAGACTCACCTGGGATAGCGCAACATCTCGCTAACTGCCGTTCTATGAGAGCATGCTCCTCCTGCCTGTACGTCACCAATAAAATGGTTAAAACATTTAATGTATGAACTGATTTTCCATAATTTAGCTTATGTATTTAATGTACTGTGTTTTTATTGTCACCAACTGTGTGTGTAACGTGTTTCGTGTGCTGAGGAGCGATCAGAAACGGCAGAGAACAGATTCGAGGTGAGGTAGGCAGTTCTCGTGCCTCATCGCTGGGGGCGCTCATGATCCCAGATATTGTGACTCCACAACCGCAGAGTAAGAGACAGTAACAGCGAGCTAGCCATACAGTAGCTGCGCTGATACAGAGAGCGAGAAAGACGTGGTTTTGAGTTGTACTTTAACGGTTTCTCCCTTTGCTGTTAAGCACAGGACGAAATTAATAATATCTACATGTCTAAGTTTGATTGCGATAACGGAATTATTCTGCAGCGGCGGCAGGGCAAAAAGACTTAAAGAATAGTCTTTTTGCCCTCCAGCATTGTACGCATGTGCGAAATTTCATTATGTAAACAATAACATGCAGGGGTCTAGATTTGCAAATCCGATTATGATTAAATCGGTGCCTCACCAGCTATGAACCTCACCGCACGTCACTGCAAAAGGCAGACATTAAAGTGGAAAAATAGCAGTTTATTTTATTATAAAATCAGTTATTGAATAAAGGAGTTGAGAATATTGCATTCATTTTTAATCAGGCATCCGTAGGACGGAAACAAACCCTCTGGTCCGTCCTTTGATGCAAAACACATAAACAGACCATCCAGAAATATACAAGTGAGTTGTGACAAAAGGAAATGAAGACAAACTCATGTGTATTTAATGTACATTTTATTGTACATTACTGTAGTTTCATAGTCTGAAACTACAGTAGTTTAAATGGTTTGGTACTTTGGTCTGTTTGTAACAAACAAAAATGTTAATACTATAATACTGGCTAAAGATTTGGTTTGATTATTTGTTATTAGTAAAGGACAAGGTGAGAGATTAAATGGTTGGATTGATAAAATATGGATTACATGTGACTAAACGCACTTGAAAATGTTCACTATTGCTGTTTATAAGACTGTGCAGACATCTGAAAGTAAAAAAGTAACTGTGGACTTGTTTTGATATTTGAATAATCTGAGATGCATTCAAATGCACCAGAAAACCGCAGCTGTTGTGATACTGTGCAGCATTTTGGGCTGGTTGAATCAGCTGGATTTGGACTACAGATGATTCTTTTCTTTTATCTGATGTTTACATTAAGTTAGACGATATTTCATGTGAGTAGTTCAGTACTGTGGCTACATGAGGAGGCTTAATGTTCCCAAATAGCAGAGTTTAGTGACTGCTGGGAGGTCCCTCTGTTCTGTTTTGGTGTCACTTTTTAAAGTTTCCCCACAGAACGTCGCAGTGCACAATTAGTTCCTCACATATTTGGAAGCGAAATGGCTGCACCATATATTTTTGATCAGAAAAGTAGATCTGCCCACACTTCAAATCACTCCCTAAAACTCACTTTTATTCTTTCGCATTTATGTAAGTAGTATTGTAATCTACCTTTCCTGTTTAATTTATTGTGTTTTATTCTTAGACTTTTTTTTATCTGTGGTTTTAAGAGTACAATACAGCATTTTGAAGCAGTTTACAGCTGTTTTTAAAGTGTTTAATAGATAAATTGACATGAGTGTTACTCTGATTCCTACCATTACAACTAAAGGTAACACTTTATTTGAAGGGGTGTGGATAAGACTGACATGACGGAGTCATAAACATAACAACCATCATGAACATGAAGGAGGCTTTATGAATGTTTACGACTGTTGTCATGAAGCGTCATTCGGTAAATAATGACACTTTTAATGGACCTTTTATGCAAATTCTAGTTGAACTTTGCATTAAAAGGGTCATTACTGACCAAATAGTGCAAAGTTTACACTTTTAATGGACCTTTAGTGCATACATAATGCTTCATGAGAAATCTTTCATGTCATGTCAGTCTTATTCACACCCCTTCAAATAAAGTTTTGCCCAACTAAATTATCAGAAGATACTGTTCCATTTCCAATTTGAGCAAAATTTTGTCAATATTCTGGTAATGTAAAAAACCCCACAATTTTACAATTTCCATTAAATGAGAAATGCGATTAAATCACGTGAATAAGTTTTATCACGTGATAAAAATAACTTCTTGTCGTCTTCTTTTTCGTGATTTCCACCAGAGGTAACATCTAGTTATTGATCATGTGACTCGTATATTGTAAAAAAAATAAAATAAAAAAAAAGTGTTTCTGTTGCAGTTTTGCAAAATAAATCAATTTAAATACGGTTGGAAAAATCCCACCTCATTCTAGCTTCAAAACATTTTAGTAGTCAACGAGAGCTTTTTATGAAATTGGTGAGTTTCTATTAAGCAAATTTATTCTCAGAATGTCAAATTGTGCAAGTATGTGGTGAATGAAAACGCAGCTACTGATGGTTGACCATCCAGTTCACTGGAACAGGAAGTTATCCTTTTGTAATAACAGTCATTATTCATACTGTCTCACTTTTTTGTTTCCTGTATTTACATGAAATACATGCGATGAGGATTCCTCAGTCTGCATCTGATCTGGCACACTGCGATGGACAGAAATAGCACGAATGGCGTCTACAGAGGTGCATGCCACTGTTTCCAGTTAAAGTTTCAGTTTCCATGGAAACCATGCACACATGCATGTATTTCTCTCACATTTGGCTGCTGATGTTGACAGTAGGACACCGTCAGCGTTTGATTGGAGAGGTTATTACTCGTTAATCTTTTCCTCACGTCACACGAGAGGACGAAGCTAAATGGCAGACTTGGTTAATTTTTGCACCACCTGTTGAGTCAGAGAGGTGTTTTGTAAAAAAAAAAAAAAAAAAAAAAACTTTTGCAAAAAGGTTTCGCACAAAATACAAATAAAACGAGCAAAATCAATAAGGTGACGATCTGCTGAATGCACTGGCTCAAATCAAAATATCAAAACAAAAAAGACATTTTAATGGTAGTATTTCAGTCTGCTACTGACTGTTTTTTTTAAATCATTATTTTAACTAGAGAATTTTCACACCTTTGTAGAAAATAACAGATAAAAATTCACTTTGTAAAACAGTAAAGTTAATATTGGCATCACAGCTGCT